AAATTTAGGAGCACGTTCAAAATTTTAGGAGCACCTTCTAAACAATTATCCAAAATGTTATCAAAAAGTAGCCTTCCCATTACGAGGCGATATTTGACTCCTCTAACTTTATTAAAAGTATGTCATCTTTTGTCAAATTCTTAAAAATATATATATTTTATAAGCTTTTTAAAAATAAAATTAAAGTAGTAGTAATTAAAACGACAGAATAAGAACAAGTAGAATAAGAAATATAAGTTACCAATCAAATGAAATCAGTATTAACCAAATTAATTTGTAGAGGTGGCACAGAAGAACACAAAAGTGGCCTGGTGTACTTTGAGACATTTAATGAGGCTCAGAAGTGGAATGAGTGCAATTCAATCCATAAATCCATGATGATATTAATGTTTTAAATATAAAATTCTGAATATAGAAATATTACATTATTTAAATAACTGAAAAGATACTTTTAAAATGAAACAAACTGCCAGCAGGTGGCGGTAAGTCCCTGATATTTATCACTGAATCATTCATTCAATTGATTCATTCAAGTTCAAGTCTGCTTTATTGTCAATTCTTCCACATGTACAGCACATACACACAGAGAATTGAAATTGCGTTACTCTCAGACCCTTGGTGCATACAGATAACACTAGAACATAAATACAGATAGATACAGATTAAATATAAAACACAACTACACAAATAAGGTCAAATGTAATTCGAACGGCTGATTCATTCAGGAATGAATCAAGTGACTGTCTTTATGAATGGGTAATCATGAATCACTGACTCACTAGATTCATTAAAAACACCGCTCTATGCAGCGGCTGAGCTGTGACTTTGTTTTAAACTATTTTCAACGACGAAATAGAACAAAATCAGACCATAGTGTTATAGTCAGACAATGTAAGTCACTTAATATGAACTTCTTGTTTATTGAATTGTATTAAATCAGTATCACATTTACAAACTCATCTTAGTTCATCTCGATCTCACATTTATAATCAACGAAGCACTCAACACTGCACAATGAATCTCTCACTTTGCTTATGAAAAGATTCATGAGATATGTCTGTGGTGCATTAGGCTACTCAACGCTGCAAAAACACGTAGAAACATTTGAAGCACCCCTCAGCGATAACAATCACAAGTATGATGATGATCTGGTCAGTCGCAATGGTGCTCCTAAAAAACCGTTTATAGTCGCACGCAGTAGTTTTCAATGGCCGCACTGAAGAGCCCTGTAAAGTAGCCGAATGCTTTCAAAACTGCACGGTTTTGTTCCGTGTGTTTAAATAACTGAAAGTATTTAGCATTTTAGGCATGACTGAATCTCGGAAACTGTAAACAAATGAAAGGATACCCAGGTTTGCTGGAACAAGGAAGTTTACTCACAAACAGTGAATTACCACACCAATTTCCCACTAAATAATGCGAACGCTTGATAGACCTTTAATGCAAATGTCTTGTTCTATCAGCTGGCTAGGTTTTTTTCGTAACTTGGTTCTGTTTTGTTTGCTTCCTCTTCGACTCAACCGGCTGACTTCAAAAACATGTCTATTTGAACACTAAAAACCCACTCATAAACACACAACATGTATATTAAGTAATAGTCTATACAATAAGCAAAGAATAAAAAGTAATGTTTTCCCATCGCGAGATGCCGAAAATAGGCTATTCTTGCTTAAAGCATTTTGCAGTGTTATTTGGGATATTAGCGTCTTCAGTGTTTATTTACTCGGTAAAGCAGTGTAAATGTTTTAGCCTAATAGAGACAGCATTTTAAAAAACAAAACAAATACATGAATAAGATTTTTACCCAAGTGCGAAACAAAGCAGATTTGGATAGACAGATGTCTTACCGATGACTTCGACAACTCGCTCGAAGAGATTTCAAACCATTCGCTTCAAACCAGGAGGACCGAAATGTGAATATTGACCCCTGAGAGTCTCCGCCAGCTCAGGCCAAATCCAGTGCAAATGCTCCCTTGTGCACACTGGTGTTTGGCAATGGGCCCCAGCTCCGGCTGATGTTCCGTCTGTGTTTTGATAAGGATCAGGGAAGCAAAAAGTAGGAATGCTACTATAGCGAAGGCTCGGTTCATGAATGGTAAAGAGCTTGCGCTGGCGTTGACTTGTATCTGTCCTGAGGCGTCCAATTGCGCAGCCTAATTATTATTCATGAGGTAAGTCTCCATCGCGTCAACGTCTACATTTCAGCCAATCAGCAAGGCGAACTGGACGAACATAGCACCTAATATATTAATATACAGAAGGGAAGCCTTTGCCATAGTAGGATCGGTGCATTGATGTGGTGGAACTAACAGATGAGAGCCACGTCGCTACAGGACGTGAAATGTCGCATGTTTTGGTAAACACTGAAATGGCGTTACATTGCTCATCGTTCGCAAAGCGTACCATCTATTCATTGGATATAGGCATTTTGCTGGCTGAGTGTAAATAATGAAATGTATATTTGCAGTTCACACCACTGCTAGTCACAGGAGTGTGTCTGTGTGAATGAAGTGTGTCTGTGTGCTCTTAATCTAAGAAAATGCAAGCTCATCATCGTCACTCAGCCCCATCTAAAACTGCAAAGGGTTGTGCACATTAAAAATAATGAAGGCTACACTAACATGAAATGAAGGCTCATCTCGGTAGCCTATTGAATCTTACCAGAATTTAGGATGAAATTATTGAAATCATGTTGTATTAACAGTGAACACCCGCCAATAATCATGGCTTATGTAGTGACAATAAGAGTAAATAGTCTATTTGTGTGCATCATTTCTGAATTTCTGGTCCTATTCCCCCAACCACAAGGCAATGGTGGCATCAGAAATACTTGTAATTCTGCTTTGCTGCAAATACATAATTGTGTTAGAAACAACAGCTTGCAAACGTTCACTGAATCAATACAGAATATAATCTGAAGTGACACCGATTATATACTGTATATTTTAAATGTTTTTAGATATTTTAAATGTG